CACTGCACCCCATACTGGCTTTGCCCTGCAGGTGATCAGCTCCGCTCAGTTTCTTAGCTTGAGTGCTGCTGGGCTACACAGCTTCCAGGAGTTGTTGCCAGCCCTTCCGGTCAGATGGGGCTGGGAGACACTCCCCAGCAGGTAGTGCTGTGACTCAGCTCCTTGCCTGGGCATGGGCAAACTGAGCTCTAGGCCCAGCAAAACTCCATGTCTGAGGATCTAAAACAGACGGATTTGCACCCCACCACGTTCCCTGGTCAGAGTGCACTCCTGACTTGGTTCTGCACATGAGCAAAACTGCTGGTCGGGATTACCCCTTGGGCACTGCAAGCATGAATTCGGTCTGCTGAGAGGTGTGTGCCGGTTGCTGCAAGTCTCTTCCCGCTTCTCCATCACAGATTCCCGACAGCTGCAGATTCCCCTGGTGTGCGATCAGGGAGGGGCTCCTCCAGAGGGGCCCACAATGCTCAGGGGAGTCCAGTTGTCTCGCTGGGGTTCTCTCTTCCCACTGGAGCAATGAGAGGCTCAGGGGAGACCTCTCTGTGCGGCGCTAGGCTGTCTTCTGGAAGGGGCAGTGCAGTCCGCACGTAGTCACTTCCTACCCTTCTAATGCAGAAGCTCTTGGTCTCCTCGGGGCAGGGCGCGCTTTGGCCTCAACTGCATTTTCTGGGATTCTCAGTGGTGTCTTGATCTTGAATAGTCGCTGGGTGTTCCTATGAGAGGTCATGAAGTCAGGAGCAACCTATGCTGCCATCTTGGTGATGTCACTCCCCAACAGCAGGGTTTTATTTCTGTGGATTTGTTTTTGGCTGAACCCACTGAGGTTTTGTTTATCTAGATTTTAAGTAATCTCTACACCCAGCTTGGGGCTCCGACCTATAGCCCTGAGATCAAGAGTTGCATGCTGTACTGACTTGAACTAGGTGAAGCTTTATTTTATTTTATTTAGATTTTATTTTATTTGATTTTGATTTTATTTTTAAAGTAATCTCTACACCCAGCCTGGGGTTCCAATTTATAACCTCAAGGTCAAGAGTCAAACGCTCTACTGACTTGAGCCAGCTGGAGCCCTGAGCCTTTATTTTAGAAAAGGCACTTGAATGGGCAAGGAGGAGGTAAGGTTGGAGGCAAGGGCAAGAGGGGTACCCAGGGCATGGACTATACCCAAGGGTCAGCTGAGGACTGGGGATGGGCCTTAGGTGGGTTTCCTGTTCCCAAGGCTCCCTGCACGGCTCCTTCCCCCAAAGGCTCTATGGCAGGCACCGGATGGGGGAGACTGGGAGGCACCATAGCGGCTGCTTCTCTTGGACAGGACATCAGACGACTCGGACACCAGCCTCTCATGACGGGTCTTGGTTTTCTTCACCAAGCATGGCCTTGAAGGAACTGGCGCTGTGGAAGCAGCTGGAGCCCCCACCAGAGCCGAAGCTGGACTAGAAAGAACGTAGGCGGTAGCCAAGGCCAGGGCCCTGGAGTATCTCTTTAATGCACTCCACCTCCCTCCCCCGGCCCCCCACGCTGTTATGGTGGCCTCCAGGGAAGGCCTCTGGCCTTGGAGGCCCTCCATCTCATCCTGGAGTTGACGGAGGCTGAAGTTCATCTCGGAACTCTCTGTTTTCCAGCTTTTGGGGAGCATCCGCGTGATTCCCAGCCAGGGTCTGCAGCTCCCTGTACTGGATCAAGTACACGTTCTCAGCTTCGGCCTGGCTGCAGCTGCAGCTGGTGACCCCCTGCTACTGGGCTGACCTTGGCGGTGATGCCAGCTAGGCCAGGGAGGAGCTGATGTGTCCACCAGGCACTCCCATGTAGGAGAGGCTACTGAAGGTCCCAGGAGGCAGGTAGACATCCTGTAGGACTTCTGGGTCACCCGGAAGGATGTGGTAGAAGCTGAAGTGGAGGCAAGTAGGCTGAACGAGTCAGAGATTGGAGCTGGAAAGCTGCTTCTACATGGGAGACTCTAACAGCAGATTTTATTAGCAGGAAGGCTGGCGGGAGCTCAGATCCCTAAGGCCTCTGAAGGGGCAGGATGGGCAGATGATTCCAAAAATTTACACACATGCTGTTGAGTTCACACTTAGGGATTCAGCAATGCACCTTTGGTAAATTGTGTCCCTACAAAATTCTTTTGAGGATCCAAAGAATGGGAAGTGAATTTCCCATGGAATCTTGTGTGTAATTCACGAAGTGGGGAGTTTCATTTGACTGTGTTTATTGTACATAGGAGTATGCTATGAAAAGCTGAAAGCATACAAGGTAGGTATTAATAAGGAGGCACGATGAAATCGGCAACCAGAAATTGTCTCCATCTGCTTTTTTCTTATTTGGAATATTCCTACTCACCTAACTTGCTAAATACTAAATTTTTAAAAAGCCTCCAAAAAAAAAAAAAAAAAAAAAAAAAAATCCTCCATGCAGAATAACTCTTTACATGCTGCTCTAAGCTTATCCTTTTAATTTCATGGCAGTAACACTGTACTAAGGATTAAGAAGTTATAAAATAGCAAAACCCCCCATCAAGAAACACTAATGTTATCTTCTTCTTGTGAAAGATTTTAAGTCATCTCTACATCCAGCACGGGGCTTGAACTCACAACCCTGAGATCAGGAGTGGCGTGCTCTACCAACTGAGCCTGCCAGGGGCCCTACTGTTATCTTCTGATAGAAGAATACTGAAAATAAAAATGGAACACTCAGATCATTTCTCTTTCTTTAACTGTAACTTTATTTGGAGCAGAATTTTCCTTACATAAAGTTAACGTTTTTAAACAACTTAGGACAAACTATTCAAAATACAATGTTTTATTTCAGAAAGGGCTTGTGTCAGTGGTTTTCTCTCCTCCTCTATTCTCATCGTGATGACTATTTGCTTTTTAAATAAATATATTCTCAGTTATTCCCTTGTAATCAAATCTGGTGACTACACTGCTATCAGTACAAAGACATCTGAGATCAGAAGACTGTTTGGGTCATTTGAAATTCACATTAGCTCAGTGTCCCTAAGAAATTGGTAATACAGATCGATGGGATGCTTGCCTCCAGTTTGTCTTCTTAATGGTTTCCATGAGAGGGTCCTCACAATAAGTTATATAAAATACAGTACTTTGGTTGGAAATTGTAAAAATAATTCTAAAAATTAAGCACATATATTAAACAAACGCGTTGCTACAGTATGCTTTAAATGATATAAAATAATTAGCATGTCAAACATTCTCTTATAAACATATTGCTTTTGGTCATACACTGAGCTGAAACGTACAGCCTGCGTTCTTTTCCTCCTAAATGGCACAAAACAATGGCTTGATGGTAGGGAAACGCTACTTCATGAGCAAAGATGGTGCCTGTGAGCCCCAGTACCACCCTTATTTGTTCTTGGGCATTACCTTGATTGTATTCAACTTTTGATAACATCAGAAGATGACACAGTGTCAGTTAGATGTATACAGTCCTTTAGCCTATCTATGAGAGGTGTCTAAAATAACTGAAAATCAATTTTCTTCCTCCTTAAATCCTATCATACATGAGCTGGGTGAGTGTTTAGCAATTAATGGAATTTTATTGTAAGACGAACAGTCACACCAAGAGTAGCTTTTATGCCCATGCGGCTTGCCTTGTGGTTGGCACACATACCCCCTGGCCCACCACTTATCACTGGACCTTTGGGTGTGGAAAGAGAGCCATCCCTGTACCATTTTCCGACGTCCCGAAAAGCTTTCTGACTGGAAATGAGGTATAGTCATGGATAGGTACGGTGAAACTCCTCATTCCTCTTGGTGTCTTATAGTACATCTTATAATTCCCTACTAACTAAAAGATATACACACCAGGTATCATTTAATTTTTCACGTAACAAAAAATGGTCACGATTCCCTTCTATAGTAAACAGCGTGTATACACATTTCCGTTTACCCTTTACGGGGGGAAAAAAAGGAACTTTCCAGAATTTTGCTGGTTCTTTAGAATTTACATTGTTTTTTCAGTCTTCTAGTTTTCTCGACTGCACATCAGCTTCTCGACTTCCGCAAGGATAATCGTGTTTGGCTTCCTAAGGGAACTTGTTTACTCATAAAGCAAAAAGTAAGAGGAAGAAAACGGAAATATTTTCTGAATGTGGGCCCAAAAAAGTATTACAGAAACAATTCTATAATGCATAATAACCAGGTGACTGGGTTTTTCCATTTAAAAAAATGTCATGACCTTAACATAAGCTAGAGTGCCAAGAATATGGTTTTCACAATCCATTCGCTTTTCTAAGAGGTATTTACAGTTTAAAACCAGCTTTCCAGCAAGCTGGGCAAGGTTACAGATTAACTTACTTTTTATACATAATACAGAAAGGGAAAATAAATAGTAATCGCAGTAAAGGACTCATCTCTGAAAACCCATTTTCTGCTGCTTTAGATAATGAGTTGAGAATATAATACAGAAGTGAACTCAGCTTCAAGTTGTGCTTACATATACATATTTGTTTTCTGAAGCTTTGCTGCCAGTTTGTTAACAGAAAATATTCCCTATCAAATCCACATCCATTATGTGCTTTTCTCACGCCCCTAGGAATCATAGTGCTTGGTCAAGTACATTTTTGCGCCAGATTCCCCAAAGCGAAAATTACTCCCTGATTTAGATGAGGGCCCTATGGGAGCCCCGGCAATTTGCTCAGGCTCTAACACACTACGAATACATCAAAGCAATCATTTACCCATGGATTGGGTTAAATTGTGTCCAAGTGCTGACATTCTGTTTTATCTGTCATTTTAACCTACAGAAATGATAGACAATTTCACACGGCTCAACCTGCTAGATCCGGGAACCTGGAACCAAATGAGAGTAGCTTGGGGCCTGGGAGAATGTGAGTCAATGCGCTACTGAGCTTGTATTACGTCCACTGGCGGAGACCTTCCCTCCTGCCTTTCAGGTAAACCACAGGCGGGGGCAGATGGGCCTACAGAGATGGACGAAGAGTGGACCTTTTTTCTTTTTCTGTCTCCAAACTAGCTTTGTCGTTTTCAAAATTGCTGTAAACATTCCTCTCAATGGAATAGCCTCTGTCCAACAAATTAGAGTTCCCACTGTGTGAAGAAACTACACAAGGGTTACGAGTTCAAATGTGGCACGCTACTGACACCACCATCATGGTAGCCGGGATGTCCCAGGTCAGTGGAACCTCGGCCATGAATCCTTCCTGCTCCCCAAAGTGCCCTGAGAATGTGGCTAGGACAGAAGATTCTTCATTGTCTGTTCCTAGCCAGGCCTGGAGAACTGGACCAAATGCAAGAGTTGATCAGTTATTACAATAAAAAAATCTGCTGCTGCTTTGAAACTTAGCTTTTTGGTCATGCATCTTGATAGGAATATAAGTTTAATGGACTGTGTTGACCTTTGAGTGAAAGACCCGTTGGCTTGAAAAGCTTCCATTTTGGGGGTACTTATACAATTGGATTTAAAAAATGGAAGAAACATAAAAAAATGGGAGAAAATAGAATGGGATGGCCTACCATGATAAAACCATCTCTCCAACCACCTTGCATATCCTCAACCACCAAAAAGGGTTGTAAAAATTTCAAAAACTATTTACTTGGAGTTCTTTCAGCTGCGAAATTCATTGCATAATAGTATTTTTAGAACAGCACAGTGGTGTCACAGAATCAAACCAATAACCCGATATTGAGAAAAGCAGAAGATCATTTATCTAGGGCTGAGGCTGGTCCAAGAAAGCCGATGTACCAGTGTGCCACATTTAAAATTTAACCACTTCACAAATTTCTGCACGCGGTGAGTCAGTAACCCTCTATCATGTAGCCTCCAATTGCACCCCTGCTGCAATACTGCATCAATATTATTACATTTTAAAAAATCTGTATAAAATATTATCTGGAACCCCAAAGGAAAATCAATTAATTTTTAAAAAGTTCGTTACAAAGTTGACTGTATAAAATGCTAGAACATAATCCATATATACAAAATGCTGCTGCTTAAGAAAATAATGGGACCCAGTTTTAGAATAAAATAATTTTGTACAAAAAAAGGGTATTGCATTCAAATCAATATTTAAAAAAAAAAACCTTAAAAAGAATATTGAAATGTCTTAGTTCAGAAGAATAACTATAAAGTGTTTGTTTGCTTTCACACCGTCGCCAGTTTCTTGTTGGCAGACAGATGGCCGAGGAAGCGTGTCTTGCTTTCCCCCACGCCCAGAAGCTTCGCTGGTCATCGCCGAGACGCGTACTTGGAAACCCAGTCCGTCCGGCCGTGCACCGGCTGTGCAGCCGGAGGCCGTGGCATCAGCCCGGGAGTGCTTCTAGGCTGGGTGTGGAAGAAAGGTCGCCCGGGATGAGGTCTCACGGCCTTCAGGGAAGAATAGCCTGCAATTAGAGGAAGGTGGGTCGGATTGATACGGGACTCCTGCAAACGCAGCAAACAAATGCATCTTGGTGACAAAATATCGGAAAATGGGAGTTCAAGAGAAGCATTGGTGGGCGACTCACAGTCTTCCCTCTCCCAGTGAAGGACAACCCCATTCTGTTGTTGTCAGGCTAAAAACACAGGTGTCATTCCTGACCCCTCTTTTTTCCCAGCCCACGTGTCATTGGTCAGCAAATGCCACTGGCTCTCCCTTCCAAATAGACTCAGAATCTGGCCTGGCTCCGCTCTCAGCAGCCGGGCCCGTGATTCCCCGCCGGGATGACTGCAACAGCCAGTTTCCCCGCTGCCAACCGTGTTCCCCGCCTCCAGTCCGACGACGAGGAGCACGCGAGTGAGGCTGCAAGATGCGAGTCAGATCACCTCACACCTCTGCCCCAGACCCTCCGGTGGCTGCCAGGTCCCTCATACGCAGGGACAGCACGCTGACGGCGGCCCCGCCCATGCCGCCCATGCCACCCCTGCCACCTGCCTCCGGGCTCTTCCGGAACACGCCCACCTCTCCCGTCTCCGGCCCACTCGCCCATGCGCTAGGAACCCGGGGCTGGGGGGCATCCTCACCCTCACCGCAGGGCTAGCCCGCTCACCTCCTTCACACACCGTCACTCAACAGCTCCTTGGCGGTGAGGTCTTCTTTGGCCACCCTCTTTATTTTTTTAAAATTATTATTCTTTTTAAATTAACATATAATGTAGTATCCGTTTCAGGGGTACAGGTCTGTGATTTATCAGTTTACACAGCACCCAGCGCTCACCACAACACATACACTCCCCAGTGTCCATCACCCAGCCTCCCCTTCCTCTCATCCCCCCTCCCCTCCAGCAACCCTGTTTGTTTCCTGAGATTGAGTCTCTTAGGGTTTGGCACCCTCTTTAAACATGCACACTCCAACCTCCACATTCCCTATATCCTGCCTACCTCATTTTTCTCCTCAGCACTGGCGAGCATCTACCCTGCCCTGGTGGGTCCTCCGTTTACAACATGCCTGGCACAAAGCCATGACTCGATAACCATTTGAGGAACTGCTTCATGAATAACCCCAAATAGGACTCACCCGGAGAAGGGTCTGGAATAGGAGCCAAGTGTACCCTCTGCACAGCAGAACCGACTTCTTTTTTCAAGAAGGACGGGATATAGTTTCCAGTCAGTCCACTAGAACTCGTAGAACCGGAACCAACTGATGCACAAAAGCAAAAGCTCATTACTATGAAGACCCCATGTGCACATAACACAACAGGGTCACACAGGTGTGGAACAATAAAGAACTAGGTGTTTACTTTTAGGGGGGAAATAGGATAAGAACAGCGAATTGCGAGCAAAGCATTCCTCCACACCATACTGTGGAAAGACGGGGGAGAGGGGCAGCAAAGACAGGGCCGCTCTTGTAGCCCGTGCCTGAATGGAGGCCAGATGCTTGGTTCATTCAAGAAAAGGGAAAGGTATGGTTTTCTTCCTTTTTTGGAATAATGGGTTTAGCCCATTCTGAAATCTGCTTTTTCCCCTCCAAAACAGAGAAGAGTTATCCTTCCAGGTCAGTATGTACAAATCATAGAATCCGGCTAAACCATAATCCACAAACCACTCTCTTATGGAACGGCATGCAGGTAGGCGATCTTAACTATTTAGTTATGACAAGTAAGTCTACTTAACTATTTAGTAGTTAACTAGTTAACTACTAAATAGTTAAGATCTAACTATTTAGTTATGTCAAGTAAGTCTACGCTAAATACTCTTGCCCGTAATCAGAAAAATTAATGATGTATATTAAATATATTCACTTTTTATGACCCTTTCAGAGTAAGAGTGCTTTAAGGGCTGGAACTGTATGGGGACCCAGTGTTCTAGGAGGTTAATGGGACGCCTTATATGTAGCAGTGATCAATACATATTGGATGGATGAACAGAGATCTGTGAGCCTATTAAGACTTCAGGTACACACGGAATGATGACAAATGTTATCATGAGCCATTATACAAATGGAAGTTATATCCGGGGGTCGGGGGGAGAATGTGTGGCAGAGTGACCAATGCCTGGGTAAGGAGCTGTGTTGTGCTAGAGGACATTTTGCATTTTTGGTGAATAGGTACACACAAAAAATGAGAGAATCTGAACAGGTTAAGTCACAAAAGGGAAAGAACGTACAGTCCATGACCATGAGAGAAGATGCTCCACCTTATTAGTACACAGGACATGCAAGCTTAAGCCACCACAAGAGGCCATCTCACACTCATTAGACCAGCACACAGTTTGCAATCACCACAGTACCAAGTGGCATCAAGGATGCAGCACCACTCCCAGACCCTGCTGGAGAGCAATTGGGCAACATCTGTAAAGTCAAAGATGAGCACACCCTTTAACCTGTTTACATCAACCCCAGAGAAACCTTCATGCAGGTGCGTGACAAGAGGGTACGCCCAGGTTCATTTCAGCGCTCCTTCTATAGCAAAGATGGTTCACAACTTCCATGCTCACCAAGGAGAGAAGGATAAATACATTACGGTCCAGTAAAAGTCATAAATTAGGGGGTGATATGGTGTCATAAGTTATATAGGTTTTATAACATACACTCTGATGGGTCTTACACCTCTACGTAATTGCTAGATCATAATAGAATTACTAAAACGAGTGAAGACCCAGAATTACGTTCATGTTAATTTTTGAACATGTAAAAAATACTATGTGGTTCATGAATCTTTGAAAAAATGCACAGAAGTAATAAACACCAAATTAGGTAGGGGCTGGGGGGTTAGGAGAGGGGAAAGAGGGAATGGGTAGGAGGGCCTAGACGGTGGGCTTCATGTGTACTTGCAAAGTTTGACTCCTTGAGCTGGGGTGGGTACATGGGTATTGATACCTCATTTCCCTCTTTTTTGTATTTCTCAAAATAAATAAACGTGTCATGGATAAAGCAGAGAGAAGTGAGGCCCAGATGTTTACCTGGCAATGTGGAAGGGAAGCAATGCATGACAGGGGCTGCCTGAGTGAGGGAAAATGGCGTAGGGAACAGGCCTGATGGGAATGGTGTTAGCCTGCCTGGAAGGCTTAGGAAATTCCCTTAGTCATTTAAAAGAAGTGGGACTGAGAACAACAACAAAAAAGTGGGGATGGCCCTCTGAGCTGTCCAGAAGAGGTTTTTCCAATGCTCTGGGCTAAGGCTGGGTCATCAGAGAGAGGGGCGAGTTGGAGCACGGCAGGTGGAGCTAAGCTGGATGTCCAGCAGGGCGGGGCCTTGGAAGTCAGAGATGCCTAACTCCCCAGCTATGCCTGGGGGCAGACCCAGGGCAGCTGGCTGGGTCCCCAGAGTCTGCTGCCAAGAAAGAGACAGGAGCGCGGCCTGAAAAAGGGGCCCTGGGTTTCCACCCCAGAAAACCCTCTCATTTCCATAGCCTGTCTCTCTGGACCGGCCTTGCTGTATCCAGAGAATCTGCCTCTTGTCATTTCGGAGTTAATAATCACTACTCACCTGAATTTATTTTGCTGATTACTGATACTGTTCCTGAAGATTTTCCGGACAAACCAGAACTCGACCACGGATTAGATGGAACAAAATCCTTGCCTGGATTTGGAAGTATGCCGTTTCTTATATTTATTCCTAATGGGGAAGAAATGATTTTCAGATGCAAAATACATTATTTCATGTTGAACCAGATTCCAGTGGTAAACTCATCACAGAACTCAATTTGTCTAAACTTTCTATGTAGTAGGAATGTAATGTATTTAGTAGCAAAAACTGACCCTGAGGTTGTCCATAGATTGCTGAGGAAAGAAGGAAATATGGTGTCCTGGGATTTAGTAGGCTGACTCACTGGTAGGCAGCCTGAAAGAGGTCTCCCTAAACTCCTCCCAACAGGTCTGTCTCATGTGTTCTCTCTTGGACCCTCTGGTGCTATTTCCTGGGTGTCAGTGCTCCTGGTCATTCCCATCTGTACCCCTGCATGGGCCACTACCTGTCCATCACTTTCCCAAGTTCCTCTTGGTCCCCCTTCCCCACCCCCCCAGCTCTGCAGCTCCTTGCTCTCCTCTCTGCATTCTGTCCCCCCAGATCCCTCTTCTCACCTGACCTGGATCGTTAGCGCCATCTAGTGCTGGTGACTAGGGTCAGCACTGGGGACCCTCACAGACTCCATCAGACCCAAGGCTGCCTTGACCTTAATCAATCACCTCAAACTCAAGCCAAACCACCCACTAGACCGCCCACTTTCCCATTTATGTCAAGCACTGCAGAGGTTTTCAGAACTGAAAGACTGAATTCATCCTTTATCCTCCTTCCTCTCCTAGAGCCAAAAAGAAATAACTCTAATTCCCTCCCTGCTCCCTTTGGCCTGTGGCCACTGGAGTTTGGCCCAGAGGACACAGGGTGTCTCTGTCCCGACACCCGAACCACTGCTGTACCGTCACCTGCTCTCTCTTCTTCCAGGTCATCCTGGGAGGCCAACCAAGAGGCAAGGAGTCAATCCACCAGCGGGGCCTGCTGTTCCCACCTCGTGTCCCCTGGGCCCCACAGCCCCAGCCTGAGCCAGCACTCCCCTTACCTGCACGAGAACTACAGCCTGCCCTCAGCCACTCAGCACGCAGATGAACGTGAACCCAGAGTGCTCTCCAGTTAAAACCCTTTGACAGCTTCCTGCTGCTTGTGAAATGAATTCCAAATGTCTCATGAGACCCCCCAAAGATGCCTTGTGCCACGTGTATCACCGTCTTACCACGCTCAGGTCACGCCAGCCCCTCTGCCCTTCCCCCCACAAGCCAAGCCCCTGCCTTCCGTCCAGGCTCTCCTCTTGCTTCTTCCCCTGCCTTTGTTCTGCTCATTTGTTCCTCCCCATTCTTTGGGGGCCCAAACAGGAGTCATGCGCTCAGAGAGGCCCTTCCTGAGTCCTCTGTCTACAGTGGCATCTTCTCCCCGCCTTCTACCACCACCGGATCTACTGGTTGTCTGTTTGTTTAGGGTCTGGCTCCCAGCATTAGAAAATAGGCTGCACAGGGGCTTACACCATATATTTCTATGATGTTCCTGCCAGTTCTGAAGTTCTAGAAGCCCAGGGGCGCTTGCCTTCCAAAACAGAATCTCTGTGAATACGTGATTCCAGGGAAATGGTTTCTTATTGAGGAGGAAAGGAAAGGCAAGCATTTCTATTACCAGGCAGGTATCGCGAGTGCTTCAGGTAGTGCTGCTTGGCCGCGGACCTCAGGGTTGGTGTGTCTCGCCTCTGATAGGAGGTCTGGGTAGGGGCGCTGCTGCCTGTACTGATGGGCTCGGAGGGCTTCAGGTCCAGAACGCTCTCAAATCTGAAGCAAGGGAACATGGCTTGGATCAGCATGAGATGGGAAGCCCCATCAGAGAGGTACAGACCGATTCAAAAACCCCAGAGTCAATCTGTGTCCAGAGCCGAGGCGCACACTTGCCTGCAGAGAGCCTCCTCGCTCTGTCTCTTCTTGTTTTTCAGGTCAGTCCTGGGGAGGGACGGACTGAAATCCAAGTCATCCAAGTCAGCCCAGTCGTCACAATCCTTTGTCGCCCGGGAGACAAGACCCCACCTTCTCCGACTCTTGGGCTTGATCTCCCCGTTTTTGTGTTCCAGGCCAGCTAGCATTTTCTGTGCACCCAAGGAGTAGGGGACAAAGCGGTACTTGGCATTAATGGAGCTCACCCATGAGTAATGCCCATTCCACACTTCCTCATTGATGAAAAGGAGGACAGGGGCATATCATTCCCCACATGCCACAGTGGGAAGCACATTCCCGGGCCTCTGTCTTTCACCTCTCCTGCGTGCATCCCACCCACTGGCATCCTATGGGGACATTCAGGTGTATAAGATAAGGATTTTTTACAAAGACATTTTAAAAAAATAGATTTAGTGGTGCCTGGGTGGCTCAGTGGGTTAAAGCCTCTGTCTTCGGCTTGGGTCATGATGCCAGGATCCTGGGATGGAGCCCTGCATCAGGGTCTCTGCTTAGCAGGGAGCTTGCTTCCTCCTCTTTCTCTGCCTGCCTCTCTGTCTACTTGTGATTTCTGTCTGTCAAATAAATAAATAAATAAATAAAATAGATGTATTTTTGAGAGAGAAAGAGAGAGACAGGGAAGGGACAGAAGGAGAGGGAGAGAGAGCATTAGCAGACTCCACACTGAGTGCACAGCCTGATGCAAGGCTTGATCTCATGACCACAAGATCATGACCTGAGCCAACCGACTCTTAAACGCTTAACTGACTGCATCACCCTGGTGCCCCTAAAAAGAAGTCCAAGGTACTGCTCACATATGGGGAGGATAACTAGGCTGTCATCCGGGCCTCATCCCTGAAGACATTAACAGGCTTTATTCTGTCGTAAACAGAGATGCAAGAGAATACAGCTCAGACATCAGTCATCCGGCTCATTTACTGAAAACACGGCAAACATGCTTTCTTTAGTAGATCAAACATGCCTTCTTAGTAGATCTGGATACTATTTAATTACAGAATTAGCTATAGTAGGAAATTTCCAAATACACACTGCTTCCAAAGTTGTGGGCAGGGGCCCAGCAAACAGTCTAAAGTTGGCACTCCGGTAACCTCACAGGGCAGCTCAGTGCGGGTCGGGAGCCGGCCATCAGTGAATGAATACTTGTCGACAGAAAAAATTCTGCTTCTGCATAAAGTTGTCAGAAAATCAGGCTCTCAGACAGCACCACAAACCTACTGGTAACTAGATGCCCCGATCAGGTTATTGAGTCTAGCACTCCTTCCTTCCTTTTGCGCACCAGTCCCAGAGAAGGAGAACGATTTGGGCTCAACCGATAGCCTAGCTTTAACAGCAACTGTCGACAGCATTAATAGGAATGACAACCTATACATTTCGTTATGGCACTTTGTGATTTTTCAAAACATGTTCACAATGGGGAGCTCTGAACCGCCACACCGCAGCTGTCCGCCGCCAGCCCCGCTGTTAACAGGCACAGCCAGAACCTGAATTTAGACCTTCAACTCCAAGGCCAAAGCTCCTTTCATTATTCTGTGATATTGCAAAGATATATTTATTGTAATCAACCTTCCTTGTAATTAGACTTTATAGGCTGAAAAAAGGAAATCTTTCACACCATAGGTGGGGTCAGAAAGAGGTACAGGCAAGACAAGGCATCCTAGCAAATCTTCACTGCTTACCGACTGAGCATTCTTGGTATGGAGGGATGGGAAGAGCAACGGGCTTGGCTTGTCCTCCGGAAGATGGTTTGGGTGATCTGTCCTGGATGCCTCTGCTTTGTAGGGGTACATGAGATGCTGAGGGGGCTGGCTGGCTTGATGCTGTCTCGAGGAAATCCGTGGGTGTGGCTTGGTTGGGGGCTGGGCGGGGGGGACAGGCTTGATGTGAGGAGGTGGGCCTGCCTTTTCCAGGACATCCTTCTGTGCTTTTCCTGAATCTTGAAGGCTCTGTGTGGTGCTGCCCAGTGGATGCCCAATCTGGAAGTAGGGATATCGAAGCGCCTGGAATAACACAGAGGGCTGTTGTAGGAGAAAAGTCTAGCCAGGAAGGTTACGACCATCAGGCTCACTGAGCTACATTTCATGGGACCAGCTTACTACAGTTTCTTAGCCTAAACCAACGAGAAAACAGCGTTGAATGTGTGATAATCTTTATGATTTTCCTTATCTAAAATACAAAGTTTATACACTTAAAATTATTTGGGTAAAGCAGCCAGTTACACTGCTATTACCTTTGCTACTTCTAAAAAATATCTTGCTCAACACAGATGCTTTTTTTTTCCTTTGAAACTTCCATTTAATATAAGTAGACCTCACTAAAAGAGTTAAAGGATATTTAAATAAAGAAATTTAATTTAAATAAATTTAATTTAAATAAATTAATATGCATTGTATCATGGAGTCATAGAAATATTGGTCCATGCTGGCAAATTACAATTTGTGGTATGTATTAATTTATTATTTATTTAAATTTAAATTCAATTAATTAACATACAAGGTATTATTGGTTTCAGAGGTACAGGTCTATGATTCATCAGTCTTATATAATAGCCAGTCAGATGCTGGTTTTGTAACTTATTTGCTATGTATCTTTTTTGAGGGGGAGGGACAGGGGAGAGGGAAAGGGAGAATCTCGAGCAGACTGAGCGTGAGCCAATGTGGGGCTGGATCTCACAGCCCTGAGATCATGACCTGAGCCAATTAAGAGTCAGACGCTTAACCAACCAAGCCACCCAGGGGCCCCTGCTATGTGTCTTAAATGTAGTATTTCACCTTTCAGAGCCAATTTCCTCAGTCCATAAAAATAATATAAAGCTGAGAGAGCCAAACACAATAATCCTGGAAGACTCTGAAGAGGCAAGTGTAAAATGAGCAGGAATTTTACCCCAGGAATGCCAAGAATGTGATACAGGATACAGGGAAACCCTGCCTATCAACAACTGGCAAGCCTTGTTAGTTGTTCTCAGCAATCCAGTTTTCTGGACAGTCGGGGGATAAATCTTGAAGGGCTGGGGTTTACAATTCTTTCTGAAATAGTCTCTGTATTCCCTAGTCTTTTTGAATGGAAATCACAAAACAGAACAGAACCTTTCTTAATAGCTCTGTTATAAACATCTGTAGTGATTATATGTAAGTGTAGACGCGGAGGCCAATAACGTGGAGACTTTCGTACTAGTTTTGGACCCTGGCATCTAATTTGAGAAGTCTCTGTAGTTCCAGGCACTTCTGCAAACTGATCTGGGGCTGTTTTTAGCTTTTCTGACACTATTCTTAAAAGTACACATTGTTCTCTTGGTTCCTTGCTACAGATTTTTTTCTTTTCATGTCTTGGGTACAACCTTTAAAAAACTGGGTTCATCAGAAAGCATTTCTCCTGCCCTCAGGATATTTATGAATTTCACCCCCCCTCCCACAACCCAGTGCACTTCTGTGGGCTTTCCAGCCCTGGCTACCCGGAGTCTTATGGTACCAAATTATGGCTTTTTCTCCTCTGAGCCTTTGGAAAGCTGCTTCTCCATAATTCCTTAACCTCCAACTATGGTCTCTCTGGTTCTCACAAATTCTAACATCACATTGGCCCTATCTTCAAATGGCCCCCATCACTTCTGTTTAGCTGAAATATCATCTCTGATTAGAACTGGTCACCTTTGTCATTCTGAGCCGCGTAACCACCATGGGGGTGAGGGGCTGCTGGGAAGGAGCCAGACACACTAGAGAGGGAGGCTTCCAAGAGGCACAAGGGTGTTTTATCATCTAAGTCCAAGTGGCCTTAGGGGAGGGCGGGTTGAGAAAAAAGGATGTATGAAGCAGGAGACCCACGATCCGTGTCATTGAACTACAGTCCGGGGCACTATCTGTACTAGTTGCTGGATGAATGATTAGGGGAGATCGCTTCAACTTTCTGAGATTCAGTTTTCTCACAGAGGGAAAACACTACCCCTGATTTCACAGAACCTTCATAGGGTTAATAGCATGTAAGAACACACTAAAGCATCTACAAACTGTTAAGTGCTATCAAATATTAACGATGCTTATCATCCTAGCTCTACCTTGTCTGTCGCCCTCTCTGTGCCAGCTGTAAAATGAGGGAGTTGGATTTCACAAGATATTTTCAAATTCCCTTTTGACAACCCATAATGCCTTATAAGCAAACTGCTACGTAGTCTTAACTTAGAGAATATCTTTGAAAACTTTCTCCAAAGACAGGCAGATATATTTGCTTATTTTCTCTTCCTCGTACGTGGTGATAGGAACCTGTATGCCAATTTCCAAAGCAACTGTATTGTTTAAACCTTTAACTGTATACAGTGAGTTTCAAACTATTTGTTTTTATATATAATATACCATTAGTGGCATTTGATACTGTTTTTCACCCATAATACCAAGTAAGATACTTCCTATGAGGTTTATAGGAATTATCCAGAGTCAGAAATGAACTTCACAAGAAATGCATCGAACAGAAGGAAATGGAAGGAAACCTGACTAGCTGTTGGCCGTTTCTTGGGATCCCACTGGAGCATGTCTCTCAGGAGCTGAATGGCTTCACTGCTAGCATTTGGAATCAGCGTCTTTAAGTTATTGGGTACACACTGGGGCCAGCGGAAGTTCATTGCACTTGAAAGTTGGTAGCCTTCAGGCCAGTCGGTCTGAAAGAAGGACAAAACAGAAGATCTTGCTTAGCCAACTTGTTCTGATCTTTTCTATTCCAGCCCACGTGCCCCTACCGGAAAAGCAATCATGTCATTACCACGCTGGTACTCACGGTGCGGCACTGCGTCTGACGAAACACAGAAGATGCTAATGGAGGGACTGCAAAGAATGTGAATGTGGGGGAACAGTGGGAAACACAGTGAATTTGCCACCAACTGGTTTTGTAACTGTTCAATTGATTGTTCAAATGAGTGTTTTCCCAATTGTGTTCTATGAGACAGAGGTTTTAAGAAACCGCTGAGAAACTGTATTGGGGAAAAAAAGAAAAGAAGACACCTTGTTTCCAGTTAAATAACTTTGTGTTACCCTATATATTATAATATTCCTACCTTTTTTTTTTTTTAAGATTTTATTTATTTGACAGAGAGAAATCACAAGCAGGGGGAGGGGCAGGCAGAGGGAGAAACAGGTTCTCCACTGAGCAAGGAGCACACCTTGGACCCTGGGATCATGACTTGAGCGGATCGCAGATACTTAACCCACTGAGCCACCCAGGTGCCCAACAATAACCCCATCTTTTTTTTTTTTTTTTTAAGATTTTATTTATTTATTTGTCAGAGACAGAGGGAGAGAGAGTGAGTAAGCACAGGCAGACAGAGAGGCAGGCAGAGGCAGAGGGAGAAGCAGGCTCCCCGCCGAGCAAGGAGCCCGATGTGGGACTCGATCCCAGGACGCTGGGATCATGACCTGAGCCGAAGGCAGCTGCTTAACCAACTGAGCCACCCAGGCGTCCCAATAACCCCATCTTGACAACTGAAAATAACCATGCTGCGAAGTCCAGCAGGGAAGAAAGCTGTTCCCCTCAGTCTCAAGCTCTCCACTGCTTCATGCATCATTCCCACTAAATTCTGGAGGTAATGACGCAAAACAACGAGCAAATAATCTTTAAGTTCCCCCCACCCCACTTTTTTTTTTTTTTTTTAACAAAACACATTCTGGTATAATTTTATCTTTTAAGGTAAAGTGGCATTATGTATAGCTTATGTTATTTATTCACTTAGATGGTTATTGAGGGCTAATTATATGCTTAGTGTTGTTGGGTATCCAAAAATAATCCAGGATTTGGCATTACAGTCCAAAAAGAGAAAAAAAGGCATTTATTTTAAAACACAGAAATACAGAGAAAAAAGTGATGAGGGTTGCAAGAAAGTTACTGGTAACCAGAGGAGGCAAAGATATCCAGCAAGAGACTCTGGAAAATCTTGAGGAAGTAGCACTCATAATTTATTCAAATGATCTAAAATGTTCTGAGGGTCTGGTTTGTATAAGCAATGGTGCTAGGACCTGGAAAATGAATACCAATAAACACAAGCTCATGGTCCAGGGCACAGAGATGTCCAAGGATAATGATATTACTAACCTAAAGCACAGCTGAAATGGAGAGGAGATTAGAGCAGCAGCGAGGACGTAAATTATTAAGGGGCCTTGGAAAGAGTGGAATTCAGTCACGTGAGACATTCAGGCAGGGGAGCGGAGCTCGAGTGCGCAGGGCAGGGAAGGGGGGGCACCTCCCCCACCGCACCAGGCTGGGTGCAAGGGAGCACGTGGGAGATTAGTGGTGAGGGTGAAGCAGGCTGTGGTGTGGGCACTCAATAGGTATTTTTCACAGGGGAAGGCAGCACCAAGGCTGCTGTTTGGCTGGGGGAATCTGGCTGCAGAGCAAAAGATAAGCTGGGGGCAGAACTTGAGGGCAGCTGGACTGAGAAGATGCCCCAGACATAGCGGGAGGGTTACCGCTGGCTGTGCCATGGAGTTCTACAGGATTTGTGGCCAGGGGAGGATATGGGAGAGAAAGAGAGGAGAGAGAGAGAGAGAGAGGAACACTGAAATTTAGCCTCAAGGCTGGGGCGCTGGGATTCTGGTGCGAGCGTGGACAGGAACGGAGAACGGGGGAAGGAAGCTAGGTGGGGGTCAGCAAATTACAATCTATGTCAGGTGTCAAGTCCAAGGTGACAGTGAGGGTGTGGGGAGAAAATCTCACAGGTGGTCTAAGTATGTGATCGCAGGCCCAAGGAGGGTTTCAGTTAGGAGACTTGGGAAGGGCTGTAGGAGTCATAGCCAGGAGGAGAGAGAAGCCCAGCGAGGGAGGTGGGGTGGCCAAGAGAGGAGCAGAGGGAGCCATAACATGTGTACTTAAGATGAAGACCAGGAGGGACAGAGACCGCCACGTCAGCGGAAAGGGCAGGGAAGGGCCACTGAGGTCGAGGGAAAGACTGTAGGACTAGCAGGCGATCCACAGGACTAGGGCTGTGTGGGTGCAGGACAGGAAGCGAGGGCGGGGGGAGGGGCAGCTGCTGGCTTCAGCCCCCAGGCTTTTGTTCAACATCATTACCTTTTTGGGTGTCCCCAGCAGCTGGCAGATTTTGAAGATGGTGTCAATTTCACTGGCCCCGGGGAAGAGTGGCCTGAGGGTGTACACTTCCGCCATGATGCAGCCCACGGCCCAGATGTCAATGGGGGAGCTGTAGCTGGTGGACCTCAGGAGAACTTCCGGAGCCCGGTACCTGGAGGGCCAAAGATGCACTGCCAGTTAGTGCGGCTACAGGCCAGAAGCTCAATGAAATACCACCATCCATTCTCAGGGAGAGATCTTCTCTATTTCTAATTGCTATCTAGTTCTGTGGGGTAGGTGGACCCAGGACGGCTTGGCCATTGTCGGGGCTGCTGTCATAAAGTAGTGTTTCTCTATTTCATGGTTTTTCCTACTGAGCATTTCTCTGCAGGACTCTTCTGTATGGCACCCTTGAGAAACACAGAGTGAGAGTGAGGAAAAGGAAGAACAGGAGAAAGAGAGAACATAAACTTGTCTGCAGGCTACTTCTTGGTCATGGCCAAGTGCTTAAATGCTTCCGGTCTCAAAGTTTTAGCAATAGTCGTTAGCTGGCTTTTTAGACAGGTCTTTGGAGAATCTTCTACACAACTCTTTTAGGAAACGGTCTTCAGTAAGGGCTGTATATAAAATATTATTTATATCATGGAAAAGCATCACAGGCCTCCTTGTAAAAAGGATTTACAGCCCAAGCTTTTAAACCTGGTACAATGCCAAGATACCTACAAATATGTGTTTCAAGCTGCAGGGTTGCTCTCAGTGAAAAGTTACTTATTTGTGACATTAATGTTATTCTCAGTATAATGGTGTATTTTAAAAGAAGTGCTATTAAGGGGTGCCTGGGTGGCTCAGTGGGTTAAGCCTCTGCCTTCCACTCAGGTCATGGTCTCAGGGTTCTGGGATTGAGTCCCGCATTGGGCTCTCTGCTTGGCAGGGAGCCTGCTTCCTCCTCTCTCTCTCTCTCTCTCTGTTTGCCTCTCTGCCTACTTGTGATCTCTCTCTGTCAAATAAATAAAACCTTTAAAAAAAAAAAAAAAAAGAAGTGCAGTTAAGTAACTTGGAGGAAAGAGGGCTTACCATCTGGTAGATACATAGTCTGTGTATGGGGGTCTGGATCGGATTTCTCGGGCCAACCCGAAGTCTGCAATTTTCACAAGTTCTGGGCCCATGCAGAGGAGGTTCTCAGGCTTTAAGTCCCGATGGAAGAAACCTGTAGAGAGAGAAATCCCAATACATGTTTGCTTCTGCATTACTCTTTGCAGCTATATTTCTCTTTTCGTAAATAGCTGTAACTTGAGAAGTAGCCTGGAATGACCCCAAAGGCTCTATGCACAGGACTTCTTTCATTGCCCACTGATGAATTCACCAAAATGTAAAACAATTAAAAACACCGATCATCCTTTTTTTCCAACGTAGAAAACAGCTTTAAAAACATCATGGGGCGCCTGGGTAGCTCAGTGGGTTAAGCCTCTGCCTTCGGCTCAGGTCATGATCTCAGGTTCCTGGGATCGAGTCCCGCATCTGGTGATCTGCTCAGTGGGGAGCCTGCCTCCCCCCTCTCTCTGCCTACTTGTGATCTCTCTCTCTGTCAAATAAATAAATAAAATCTTCAAAAACAAACAAATAAATAAATAAATAAAATATCAAAACTCTGGGAGCCCCTGGGTGGCTCAGTTGTGAAGCATCTGCCTTTGGCTCAGGTCATGATCCCGGGGTCCTGGGATCAAGCCCTGCATCAGGCTGAGATAACTTTGCAAAAAGAAACTGTCACCCACCGGGGGGTAATAGATAGATACATAGATATCTCTTTCTGTATCTATATCTATCTATCTATCTATCTCATGCCTACACTGCCCACATCAGCTAGAAAGAATTTGAGATTAAAACCATTTCAAAAGACAAAAGTCTTAGGAGTTTGAGAGTTTATATCACAAGAAAAACACAATTACAATTTCTGTTTAAGGAACAAGGGATTTAAGAAGGGACCTACTCGTATTGAGATTCTGGTGTATCACAACAAATATTTCAGAGGTTCAATGCTTATTACTTTGCCTAATGAAGAAGCAGAGGTATCTGCAGCATGTACTGTGGAAGGCAAAGACAACTCACCAAATGGGAAGCCCGTCTCGGCTACCACAGAGTTCTGGGGATGCGCGCAGGATATTCAACACGTGAAATTTCCAGGTGCGCTCAGATACCCACCGATCAGTGATAAACGCCTCAAAACCCCCAAAACTTTCCACTTGTAGAGAGCATCACTGACATGGCCATCATTGTGCATGACTCTCAATGGCGGTGGAACAACAACACTGAGTACACAACTCTGTGAAAGCTGCTGATGGTGTTATTTGTTATGTGCTGTTTTTAATCAATGTTGTGACAGTTGGATCCCAACTAGCACATGATGGGGGGAATAAAGAGCCATCACAGAAGACCTACACTATTCCTTGACAACCTCCATGCTGAAGATGCTCAGATCTATGTCTCTGACATGCCTTTCCCACCCATCTCTGGACTTCCGTCTCTATTGGGGTTGCAGCTGGATATCACTGTCTCCCTCATCAACCTGTCCCAAACCACTTTTTTCCTCTCCCAAATCATCTCTCCTTCCCAAACCTCTGATAAGATATCCTGGTTCCCTGTAGTTATATTGGACTCTTTCCAAACAGTCATGGAATTGTGTTCCATTTCTCATCCAAATATCTCCTATCTGACCCTTCCTGCCCCTTTTCAGTCCTCCCTCCCAAATCTTTGCTCTCCTCATCTATCCCTCTATTGCCACTTGCTGGCAGGCCTTCCTCGATCAGCTTCTCTGCATTTCCTCACCTCCCGATAATTTAAACACTGTCTTTCCTTGTCACTGCCACACACACACACAGAGCCTTCCATGGCTCCTCTAAAGTTATTTAATAAGCTCAAACACCTTTCGGTATACCTAGAGATAGACTTTTCTAATATTTATCACCAGGATGTATAAAGTATGTTCCCATCAGGTAAAATTCCTCATTTCCTTCAGATTCATTGTATCTATTCCCAATGTTGTACCCTTGTTCCTTTGTATCTATGTCAATCCCAATCTTTGCTATCCTTCAAGACCTATGTCGAGTTTCTCCTCCTCCAGGAGGTCATTTTAATTATGCTAGCCTTCTTCACTCACTCATCCAACCAATAAGTGTTCACAGAGGGCCCACTCTGGACCAGGCACTGTGGATTCAGAAGCAACCCAAATGGACACAGTTCTTGCCCTATAGACATGATAGGCTCTTCCCTCTGAACTTGAGCAGAACTCTGCCATTTTCCGGTACACTGACCATCTCTCTCTGATTAGATGGAGCACTTTAAGGGTAGAAGCCATGATGCTATTTTTTCTGAGCACCTAGCACTATGGCGGGAGCATGGTGGTCTCATAAGATAGTCTTACTGACAGAACCAAAGACTTGAATAGGTATGTAGGGAATGTGAAAGAGCTCAATGGTGACATCTACTCTGGCCAAATCATCGGGGGCAACAGAGAGAAGACCAGGAGGCAGGAAGCCTCACCAAACAGCAACTAAGAAGTGAGAAGAGCAGTGACCCTGAAGCAGTAGGGGAGACCTTGAGGGCTCAAAGCAGGAAGTCCTCACATGGGGGGAGTTCCAGAAGGACTAAATCCCCCAAACCCTCTCTGCTGTAGAGGAAGGGGCGGGCGATTGTGACGTGGTTATACTTGAACATGCACTGGAGGTCATGTATCATGGAAAGCAACACTGGTTGGTTTTTAAAAAATTATTATTATTAACACATTATGTATTATTTGTTTCAGGGGTACAGGTCTGTGAATCATCAATCTTACACAATTCATAGCACTCACTGTAGCACATACTCTCCGCAATGTCCATAACCCAACCACCCCATCCTCCTCCAGCAAACCTCAGTTTGTTTCCTGAGATTAAGAGTCTCTTATGGTTTGTCTCCCTCCTGATCTCATCTTGTTTGTTTGTCTGTTTTTTTAAAGATTTTATTTTTTTATTTGACGGAGAGAGAGAGCAGGAGAGTACAAGCAGGGGAAACAGCAGGCAGAGGGAGAGGGAGAAGCAGACCCCTGCTGAGCAGTGAGCCTGATGCGGGGCCCTATCCCAGGACCCCAGGATCATGACCTTACCTGAAGGCAGTTGCTTAACCAACTGAGCCACCCAGGCGCCCCGAAAGCAACGTGTTTTTTTTTTTTTTTTTTAAGACCCTCCCCTCTGTTCATTGCCAGAGCTTGGTATTAGGTCACACTCCAAACGGATAGTATTATGGCCTAATGATGGATCTGCAGGCGAATGGTTGGCTAGAATGCACAAAATAAATATAATTACAGAGCACATAGAAGGGGCTGAAGTGGGGTGCCTATTTGGCACAGTCAGTTGAGTGTCCCAACTCTTGATTCTGGCTCAGGTCCTAATCTCAGGGGCATGAGACTGAGCCCTGTGTTGGGCTCGGTGCTCACTATGGGTTCTGCTTAAGACTCTCTCTCCCTCTGCCACTGCCCTGCCACCCGCACTCTCTTCAAAATAAATAAATAAATCTTAAAAACAAAAAAACACACAAATAATTTTTAAAAAAGGAGGGGCTGGACGTATAGAAGGAATCCTATATATTCAAGAGGGCCACAAGTGACAAGAGGAAGTATTTCCTTCTCACCAAAGGCTGCTTCTGTTTTCCATAATCCAAGGCATTGAGAAGATCAAAGGAGTCCCACCCGGGTTAGACCAGAGGCACAGAAACTTTGCTACTGGCATGCCATCTGAGTATGTGTGTGCATACGCCTACGTATCTCCTTTATGTGGAAATATGTATGGAAAGAAAAAAAAATGTAGTATGTCTATACTCCATTGCTTCGTTCTTTATTCTGCCATCATACCAATATATACCCTATGGCCTTCTTCACACCACTTCCTTAAGTATCCTAACCAAATTAATAATAACTGAAACCTAAATTATAGTAAGAACCAAACTTGAGGCCGCCAGCATATTCAAATGGTAATTCAGCATTAGTCAAGGATAGCCTTTAAAATAAAAGAATTTTCTGATGTGGGTAAGTTTGGATGGCTTAGTATCAGACGAATTAGATAAAGATGATCAACGCACACCAGACTGGGCAGTTTCTAACTCAGTATAACTGAGTCACCACATTGGGACCCTCTGTTCATCAGAGCACCCTCCAGCTCCCAGAAGGCCTGGTTGTATGCTCCCACCTTGTAACTGGTTAAAGAATGTGCAAAGACAGAAGCAGTTACCAGAGAGTCATCTTTCGTCAGCGCACGCAGGAAAACTCCTGTGACCCTGAAAAGCTATGAACTGTGGGACCATGGCCCCTCTTCCTAAAAACTCAGAGCATTAAAGACACACCAGTGAAAAAAAGAAATGGCAAACATCATTTTCTGACTAAACAGATGGGAAAACTGAGTCACTGGTTGGTGACGGGGGTGGGGGTGGTTAATTATTCCCCATCCTACCAGAAATGGGCTAGCGCCACTGTACTGTTGGACTCTAGTCTGTCCAGCTCAATCCATACGGTTAAATCTTAATTTGTGATTCCAGTCCGCTCAAGTACCCTTTGACACTGTTTCTCCTCTTAGACTCCCTTTTTCTCCTCTACTTGGGCTAAATTATTATTTCCAAACGCATGTGGACTTTCCCTCATCATGAATCATTTGTCCTCCAGCGTCCAAGCCCCATGGCGAGCTCCCTCTGCCACCATCTGTAACACCCACCTCAACGAACTAGCACCTTCGTCCCATCACTCTGACTTGTACCACAATACAAGTGTCACTCTCACACTGCAGACCTCGCACCTTGCTTCCTCGACAGATCATGCTCCCGTGAGCACTGACCACCTCCTCACATTAGTCAAGCTCTATCCTTTCCCTCACTGCTAGATCCTCTTTAACCCCACCAGAACAGATACACTCATAAAATGAGGAGAATGAAGATTCTGGTCCGCCCCCACCATGTATCTGTGTAAGTATCTGTCAGTGATCTATAGATCATACTTTAGGCCCAAAACAATCAGAGGAACACTGGCTAGGAAAAAACTTAACTGCAAACAAAGCCTTACAAATGACTAATGAAAATTGTATTGGTCAGGTGACATATGTTGTTTGTTATACTGTATTTGAGTATAAGCCTTTATAACTAGGAAGCATTCAGGAATAAGTCTTTAGAAGATCTAGCCCTCTGCTCTTT